TACTCCAGAGTGTTGGTCAGCATGGGGGTGAGTAGAAAATGAAGGCTAATCATGTTTTGGGTGTACTATTCCTTTAACTGATAAAGACCTCTCAAAATGTTGGCTGTTCTTTCAGTTCATCAAGATTATGATCCTACTTTTAAATGAAAAGTCCGGTCAGGAAGGAATAACCAATGGGTCATTATTTATACCTCAAACTTATACGTTCGTGGTGATTTAATGAATAAGTATAACCAACCCTGGTTATACTTAAATTAAATCACCCTGCAGCAGTGTTTCGCAGTGAGCTTGATGCAGACATTTTCGATTTATGCTTAAGTTTGAGCCGTGGGCTGCGCTATATTATTCCACGCCAAAATTCTGGGTTTAAACTGGTTTTTCTTCCAGTGGGAAATGGGTTTTTAGTGAACTTTAACTTTCAATCTGCTTGTTTTAGGTTAAAATGTGTTTATTCTTCATTCAGGGAAGTAATTGTTTTTTACTTCTCCTGTTTGATCTTCCCAGACTGCAGAGTAGAGACAGACTCGGACTCCGGCCTTTGTCTGGACTCCATCCACAGCCCTTCTTCTCCTTCTGTTTCTGAAGGCTCAGCAGATTATTCCTCATGTGCGTCTGCTGTGGAGCAGGTACGTTCTGAGGAAGATCGCAGCGACACTGAAGGCTTGGCTGGATCAGAGTTGGAGGTGGAGGTGACCATCAAGCAGGAGGAGCTTGAAGATGAGGAGATGGGAGCTGCTGGGGGAGTTATTCCTGTCAATCATGCAGACCACAAACTGTTTCAAGGCTTTTCCTGGCTGGAACACGTAGGCCATGATTACACCTTCATCAACTCGCCTTTGTCCTCATCATCTTCTCCAGCTCGGAGCAGGAAGCTTTCAGCACAGACTAAAACTGCTGGGAGGCGTCGCAGAGCCAGGCCGTACCAGGCCTGCAGCTCCAGACCGCTTCCTGGAGGTAAGATCTGGAACCGAGATGAGCAGCGAGCGCGAGCCCTCAGGATCCCTTTCTCCTATGAGCTCATCGTTAACCTGCCGGTGGACGAGTTCAACCTCCTACTGACCAGCTACCCGCTCAGCAAGGAGCAGCTGACGCTGGTCAGGGACATACGGCGGCGCGGCAAGAACAAGGTCGCCGCTCAGAACTGCAGACAGAGGAAACAAGACGTGCTGCTCACATTAGAGGAAGACCTGAGGGCCCTGAGACGCCACCATTCACAGCTGCTCCAGGAAAACCAGAACAGACTCAGCCTTCTGCAGGATGTGAAGAATAGATATGGACTGCTGTACCAGGAGATATTCACCAAGCTGATGGATGCCGAGGGGAGACCACTGAATGCCAAGGAATACATGCTTCAATTTGGACCTGATGATACAGTCACGGTGGCTCCACTGAGGGGAAACAGAAACAGCAAAAAACACAGAGATGTGAAGAAGAGGAGGAGCTGAATATTCCTGTAGAAGGATGGACTTTAGATAAGGACCTGTCAGAGAAACAGGAAGCTGACCAATGACTCTATAAAGCCTCTGCACAAAAACCACGTTAACCAGGGTCCCAACACATGTAAATATTATACTTAACCAGAGTCAGTCTGTTCTGCTCTACTTTAGGTCAAAGGATGCAAAACACAAGTAATCATTTTACTGAAAAAAACAGAAACAAATAATGCTGGTAAAGATTTTTATTCATCCAGGTCAGTCATTCCAAAAAGTTAAAAGACGATCCACTGGACTGTGTTTTAAGTCTGAAGACATTTCAGAGGAGCAGAAAGCTGCTGCCTGCATCCTCACTAGAACTAAGAAAGTAGACCAGTAGCTGATCCAGATAGGTGGTTAGAGTGGGGCGTGAAGGAAGCCATCTATGTTAAGAAAGAAAAACCAACCTTAAACTAAAGGGGGGTTTAAGGTTGCTTTCAAACACCTGCAGCGATAGAGTTGATTCCTTTCCGCTATATTGCAGCCCAAACCCCTTTATAGAACAGGAGACCTCTCCTATTCATCCAGGCCAACTATTCCCTCTAATAACCCCCCTTTCAGAGACATAGACAGGTATGGGGCATTGCAGGCTAACAAAGAAGCCAAACGACCCCCCTTTCAGAGGCATAGACAGGTATGGGGCATTGCAGGCTAACAAAGAAGCCAAACGACCCCCATTCCAAAGGGGGGGACCCGTTCATCAGTTTCTATTTGCATGTTTTCTAAACTAAAACCAGGCTTTGTTGGGCTGCTGGATAAAACCTGGAACTAAACGCTAT